TGTATTATACAGCTGAGCCATTCTCTTGTATTGCCAAGGCACTGAAGTGAACACATTTGACATTTTAGCTGATTACTTCTCCAGAATTAAACAGACAAAAGGGCAGCATTCCAGCGTTCCTTTCAGTGCGAAAGCTAATTATATAAATGCTTTGGACAGCAATTTCTTTTTGGATGTTAAAGTGCTTTTATTAGATTGTTCTCCTGTCCTCTTTAAATTTATTATTGGACACTTCGAAATGATGTGGCCTGCTGAATTTTTTTTTCAAAAATCTCCTCCTGGATTAGGCCAAAATAATATAAAGTACACCTTAGTGTGTTGGGTTATTATATAAAAGATAGAGGAAATGTCCTAATCCTAGTTATTATGAACCCCAAACCCTATTTTGTTGCTGGGTAGCCAGTCTTTGCTCATAATCCAATTTCCACTGTTTGACCAGGTCCTAATCTGTACCTGAATAGGTCAGTGAAATGCTCTTGAACACATGTAACAGACAATTTTGTTCTTTTAACTGTAGTAGGTTATAGTGAGACATAATCTTATAAACATTGAGAGCTGACAAAAATCCTTAGTTATTGCCAATAGTTATTATTATTATTTAAAAAATTGATATTGCAGCTCTTTAATCTATTTATTATGAATTGTTCAGACTAGTCTTAATGACCTTTTTCAGAGGTAGGACTCACCATTAATAGTGACAAGAACAATCCTTTCTCCATATTTTTTTCTAAGCAGTCATTGTATTGACAACCTGGTTACCATATTGCATCTTTCATAACACATTGGATCAAATATTTTTAATGGCATATTGTGGGAGAGGGAAAAGGTCAACTTATATGGTAAAAATGTTCAGAGTAAACAGCAAATGGCTCCCTCCCCCCAGTGTGTGTGTGTGTGTGTGTGAGAGAGAGAGAGAGTGGGCGGGGGGGGGGGAGATAAAAAACATATCTGTATATATTTGATTCTTCTCTTATTGAAAGACAAAGGGTGCATTTTTGCTGGGAAATTTTTCAGATAGACTTTAGGTATGATAAGTCGTGGAGGTCAGCATGACTGTAGCTACATGAGTAGAGGCAATGTGGGAGAATGTTCTGTCCAAATAATAATTCTTCCCCCATGAAATTTTCCTACAGTCTCCAAAATTTTAGCATTTCAAAGAGTGAGACATTGAAAAATTCTTGCAATCCAGAATTCATACCTTTACTATGTTTGCATTCTCTCTTCACAGGCCTGAACTGTATTTCTAAATGCTGAATGGAATTTTTAAGCTATGGAAGTGCTAGAAATCTGTAGACTAAAGGAATATGTATTGGGGAACAGAATTCTTATTTGAGAGACATTGTACCTTTATTGTACCCTCCCCCTATCTACTAGAGGTGTGTGTGGCACTAGTTTCTCCCGTTTCATTTGTTGTTTTGATCCTTTTGTTTTGGGCTGGAGCACGAAACAGGAACACCTCCCCCCCAAATGAAAATTAGCTTGTAACAAAAGAAAGTGGGAGTGGGTTCTGTTCTCTTGCCTGCTTTTTGTGACCACAGTCTAATCTTTTTTATTAATTCCCCAGCAAATAAAAAGTAAACTCTTATTTACTGTCCTCTTCCAAGAGATCATCACTCTTTCTTATCTGGAAGCGGGAAGCCTCCTTAAAATGCCTTGGAGAGTGTGTGGCTCCTTATGAGGTACCTGGGGAAAACTATACCAGCCGATTGTCACTAATTATAAGGAACTTAGCAGGGAATTTTAAAATAGTGAATTCCACAAGCTGCCAAACAAATTATATCGGTGCAGGGGGATTTTCAAAACAGGAAAGAGGCAATTTGATATATATTTGAATTAAGCCTGAACTGGGGAGTTTTGGAACTGTTGTTTCAATTGTTTTCGCTCCCACCTTTTTGTTTGGTTATCAGGCTGAGTTGTATGTGGAGAGTATACTTAGTAACACCCTTTTGTGTGTACAATAGTGTTTGTTTTCTTTAGAGGGTTTAAATCACAGAATCCATGAATACAGAATATGTTATTTCTGTAGTATTTAATTTCTGCAGTGACATTATACAACCAGTTTTGCCTATCAAAATAAAACACAATGATATCAACAGTGTGAGAATTGCCATTGATTTATTGGCATAGTGTTCAACTGTGCACATTTAAAGTTAGGCTCCCAATCCCTTTACCAGCTCACCCCAATTTCTTTCTCTTTTTCATTGCTAAAGTAGCAAAAATTAAGAACTTTTACTTTTGGAAACAAGTCCTGAAACCTTTGTAAATTCTTAGTTTCCTGGCATGAAAATCACTGTTCCATATCGTCATTCGCAATGGCATGGAAATGCAAGGCCATTTTTCTTAAATTATGATTTTCCCCAATGCCTCTACCTGCAAGTTAGAACACTTTGCAGTATCCCCTGGGTATCCAGGATAATCCCATTTGTGTAAAGATTAATTTCCTTCTTGGCAGCCTTTGCTCCCTTTTGCCTATCCAACCACGATTTTTTTAAAAGTTACTGATCCATTTGGCTCCATCATCCTACTTTGATGTTTCTCCTCATTTCCTTTCTTCTCATTGCTACTGCCAACCCCAATATGCAACAAGGAGATACATCCTGGTTGGTGATATTGGTGGTGAGCACATAGATTATGGCAGTTATCTGAAGGGTGTTGCAAGGCTATCCAAACAGCCTATCTATTACTAAAAACAACCCCTTATTCTATTTTTTCCTATTCCTACTTGCCTTACAAACACCACATGCAGAATGCACATTAAGCAGCCATACATGTCCCATTTGTGAACTCACCTCAATATGTATTTGCTTTTGAAAAATTCCTCTAATTTGCTCTATTGGGAGCATCAAGGCAGTGGTCACTTACCTTTTCTTCTTGTTGTCATGCATTTGAATATATATATTTCCACCTAAGGTGTTATTAGACATCCTGTTATGTGGAGATGTGCTAATACTGATATACTTGTATACAGATCTGCAAGTATCTGCATACACATTCATATTTTCAATATTGAAGCTGCATTGAAAATTAAAAATACCGGAATGGTCACCTGAATTTCTAGCCCTTATTCATCCCACACTAATCAGTTTGGGAGACCTTTAATGACTGCTGCAACTCCAGTGTCAAGCTCACTGTTGTGGACACATGACAGAAAAACCTGAAACTCATGCTGATCTTTGAGCAGAATGCAGATAAAATGCAATTCTTTGAAAAGTTTCCATAATTAAGGACAATGTGAAGGCATGGAAGACTCTTAGCACATAGTAAACAAAAACATTTAGATTATTGTTTTGTTAGTGACTTAATGTTGAGTTTATTTTAGGTCCACACTTGTGACACTACTTTAATCCCAAGGTGACCAAACTGGGTGCTTTCATTATAATAACCTCTGATGCACACATCTGATGACAAATAAATCAGCCTGTGAAGACATAGTATTTTGGTACATGCAAATAGCTGGCTTTGACCTTCATTGTCATGGCTAGAGAAATGGATTTTGATGTGAGTAGGTGAATTCTGAATTTTCCCCTGAAATATCTAAGCAGCGGACACATGATTTACTTTTAATTTTCACTGAACTTTGTATGTTGAATGTTATTTGCATTCCACAAAATAATTATTCCCGTGTTATAGTTATCCTTGGTGTGATCATAAATGTCACTAAGATAATATTACCTACTTTTTTTTGCAGACCTGATAACATTTCTCATAAAACTGATTGACAGCAAAAATCAAATGCTTTTATTTATGTCCAGCTAGGGATATTTCATTAAGATAACTTGGCATTGTATACTAATAAATAACCGAAATGAGAGCAACAAAAGCTTTATACAAACAATTTAAAGAATGAATGGCAGAACATTAAATATTGACAAAGCGTGAAGACATTTGGAAAACAGGCGCTGAACAGTGTATGATAAATGCTTTAATGCATACTGAAACTTTATGGTAAAAGATGGCTCCCCGGGGCAGGGATATAAATTTTTGATTATTTCATTCTTTCATACAGGAATAACTAATTTCAAAAGTTATATGAAATATCAAAAAATTGTGGATATTTTCATTTTTTTAAACACCTGGGAACTTTTTGTGATTTTTTTTGTTCTTGTGAAAAAACCTCCAGCATTCTACACAGAAGATCTTAATTAAATATTCCTATCTGTACAAGATTTTCTATGGAAAACAGTGGAAGATATACAAAATGCATTGTTCTACACATAAAAGATATGTTTTATACAAGACTGCAAGCTTTTGTAGAAAAAAATTCGCACAAAAAGACAAAAATTATGAAAATTTGGCAGCAAGTGGGAGTTTTTCAGTGTGTCATGATATCAGTTTTTTCATCATGGTAGAGAAAATTTGCTAGTATTCTATAACTTTGTAATTGATTGAATGATGAGCAACCAACATACCTACCTATCTCAGAGGAAAGCCGTTTGTTTTTAAACCCCCAATTATTTAATGCTGGAGAGGAATGCTAACCCCTTGAGTATTATAAGATATGGCTGGTTAGAATAGTTCAGTATGTGTTTTCCAAGTACTTCTCCAGGTTTTGATTCTCCGGGACAGAAATCAAGAACATTGCATATATCAAATTCATATATCATATTTTTGATACACCATCCTTTTAGCTTCCTAGTTGAATTGTTAGCTTTAGCCCTCCCCCTGCTCTTTTTCTGCTTCATGAGAAGCAAAAGGCGGGGGTTTGATCTGGTTAGAAATCAACATATTTGGTCTTCATTTTAATGAGTTTGTCCATTGTCAGTATGTTAGACTTTTTACACTTAAGTGTTTGATTCTTGTTAGTTTCTGGAGAATTGCAATTTTATACTGTTCTGTACTCTACAATGTACAGAACAATATAAAATTGCAAATATATCAAAAATAAATACAAAGAAAATTTGAAAACATATTAATATTTTTCATGTTCATAGAATATGTTGAAATTTGTTTTTTCCTTGACAAAAGATGCTCTTAATAATTTTTCCTCCTTTTCCTCCTAGGTTGATGGAATATTGTGCTTAACTGATATCCTTACAGATAGTACCCACTCTCAGTCCACTCATGCTGAAGCAGCGGCAGTAATAGCTCAGATCACATCTCCTCACCTCACCTTCATTCAACATCTTGGCAGTTTCCTTGAGAACATGGAGGAGATTGTCACAGCACTTCTCAGTATGTATATTGAAATGGTTCACGTAAATGCCACTAAACAAAAAGGAAAAAGTAACATTCTTTTGGCAGCCCATTTTTCAGCATTTATTGTCATAATTTCAATCCTAAACTAGAGTGCTAGGGCTCAAATGTAATTTGTTTATCTAATGGTCTACAATATTGAGTTCTGCATTCTTATTAATGTTCACGCCTTTGGTTGAATGTAATATGTTCTGCTTTATGGTTAGAATATAAACCAGACATGGAAAAACGTTGGCCCTCCAGGTGTTTGGGACTTCAATTCCCAGAAATCTGTCAGTTTACCAGCCGTTAGGAATTGTGGGAGTTGAAGTACAAAACACCCAGAGGGCAGAAGTTTGCCCATGCCTGATGTAAACTGAAGAACTCCCCCTCCCCCTCTTTTTTTTTTTTTGGGGGGGGGTCCCTTCCAAAATCAAGCTTTTCTTTCCTTCTTTTTCTTTTCTTGCTGGTCTGCACAGAATAAAGAAAAAGGACAGAGAGGTAAAATTGAATTTATCAGTCCCTTTAAGACTAACTCATATAATCCAAATCAATGCAGTTAATCCGCATTCTGAGCTGGATTAAAGGATAGTGTAGATCCAGCCTCTATTAGCTGTCTGGGATTCAAAGATTTCAGTTTATAAAAAGTAAATCTCTAGCCCAACTGGAAGCAGAGAAAAATTGCAGAAAAGGCCCCTCTAGTCTTGCTTTTTCTGTTCCAGCACCCTGGGTAAAAATTGTCAAAAGTTGCCATTTGGACAATCCAAATGGATAGACTCAATTGAGGAGGCCATGGCCCTAAATCTGCAACACCTGAGCAAGACTGCTATCTAATATATGTCTGCTCAAAAGCAAATCTCAATGAAATTCAGTTTGGTTTATTCCCAGTTAAAGGATTGCAGTTGGAATCATTATTTTATCCCTGGATTATATGGATTGTTTTATTGTGGCATAAGTTAAAATAAAAAAAAGTTCTAGGACGTTATGTATTCCTCATATTGACACTGGACATGATTGTCTAAGGACCTCTTCACACACACCCTGTCCTTCATCTTCTTCCATCATATGGTGGGGTCAAGACAAGGCGCTTTAGTGCCCTGCCCCCATCATATGGGAGAAAGGGCATCAACATGCATTGGCCTGCTGCCCTTTCCCCCATCATATGGAGAACTGGAAAGGGTGGGAAGCTCCTTTGGCTCTACCTGAAAGATTCGTTCCTCTCTGTCATGGAGGAGGAGGAGTCTTGCAATGCTTCCCCTCTGCTTTGGGAGGAATGTGGGTGGGGCCAAGCTAGCATCGTATGGTGATGCTCGCCAGGCCATGTTAACAAATGGAGGAACGGAGCAAAAAATCCCAATGTGAAGAGGTTCTAAGAAAAAATAGAAAAAAACCTTTAAGCATCCTTGGAATCATGGTGTTTCTTGTGTTGAAACTGAGCAGTGCCACTGAATGCTTCTCCAAATGGAAGAAGAAAGGTGAAATTTTCAATGACTCTCTCTTTCTATTGCTGCCTGGTAAATATGTTCCAAGGCATTGGGGAACCCTCCAGAACAGCATGGAAGGAGGTGCAGAAAACAAAAATATCAATCTTTTACAGTAGTAGATTTATGTGCTGGATCAAAAGCTGTTCAACACCATTGGAATTTGACCCACGTTTCCATTTTCCTTTGTATTTCAAAACAGGAATGCACCTTGCTAGCAATCAGTCAATGATAAAACACATCAGCTATGGCTAAGCTGAATTATCATTTGCTCCAGGAAGTGTTATGATTGAGAAAGATGCATGATTTGTAAATGTTTGGGGGAAAGATTTAAGAATTTCTCCACTGTTATTATCAAAAGGCCAACTCACTCAAACAGATCTAGCCAGGCCTAAGTATATATTGAAAATATAAAACTGCATCTTTGGTCACACTAAGGACCTTATCACATTTATGAGGAGCAACAGGGGGGTTTGTCAGCCTCTGTGGCGAATCTGCAGAGCCCCGTGCCTGCAGACATTTTAAGAGGACTTCAGTGCATACACACACACTGTGTGCATGCATGTTAATGTCTCTGTGTGTCATATTTTTTTATTCCTAAGACATAGCAGTAGCAAGATAAATTGGGGAATTATACTCTCAAATACTAATTAGTTCTACTCAAGTGCTCATAGGAATACAGCAAGATTTATTTAGGAATACAGCAAGATCTCGAGCAATACTCCAGACCAGCCCCACTCTTCAAGCAGAGTATGGACAGCAGACCAACCACAAAGGAAACTGGTCTGCTGTTCACACAGGTTGGTATAGGGAAGTATAGGGAAGAGAGGATGGATTAAGACCATGTTGCCCTTGTCACCACATTAGATGGCCAGAGAGTGTTGGAGAGCTCCTGGCCATCTCTGGATAACCTTGTCAACATCAGCACATTTGTTGATGTTGACAAGGGTACCTGAAGATGCTCAGGGTAAAGGCCAAGAGAATTCCAGAGCTCTCTATCTGTCTGCTGCAGTGACTGGGGTGAGGGGATGTTTAGGGGTGACAGCCCAGCTGGGCCGAATCAGTTTTGATGTATCTGAAATGGCTGGATTCTGCCCCGCTGCTGCAACAGGTCAGGGGCAGAGTGTCCAAACAGCTCTGCAGCCTCTTGAGTCAGTACTTTGCATTTCTGTTCTGTGTTAGCCTTGGATATTTGCAGAGGTGTAGATAAGTCCCATGTTTCCAAACAAATAATATACGGGGAAAATACAGTGAAATGATGATTAGGGCAGGAGGGAAGCTGGACTACACAATGACAGTTATTAGCTTACTGTGTGAGGCAATTTCACCATGCTTCTTCAGTTTCACCCCAGTGCCTCTCAGTACAGTACTTTACATCTGACCTGTATTTCTGCTCTATTTTTATAAACTTCAGAGTATCTGTACTTGGGCTCTGAAGTTAGAAGTTTTAGTACAGTGCTTCCAAAACTCAGTGAGGAAGACTTCCTTTTGTCCTTTGCCCTTTACCTTACATTTTTCTGTGCTTTGTTTATCAGAAACAGAGACAAAGATTCTTAATGTACCAGCAGCAGACATACATAATGGATACTCAAAATATGCAAACAGCATCATAAATGAGCATACATATTTAGTGAACAGTCTCTATATGCCTTAAAATGTTTTCCAGTTTTTGGAAAAAAGAAAATTGAAAATTAACCATTGCCTAGGTTATTTACTCTGAAGGTGTTACCATGTCTCCAATTTAGTGCACTTGTGTCTAAACTTGTAAAATTATAGCTGTTTGGATTTGAAAGTCAATGAGAATCCTAAAGATTCAGATTCAGGAATTTCAGTTTATATTCAGGCTCCACAGTGGGCTGGATTGTGTCTGATGTGTTACAAATCAATCTGAGGACAATTGGAATCTGAATTGAATTGGAGGACTACAGAACCATTGCACAACCACTGTTTTAAGTAAAATCCAGCTAACTAGCCATGTTGCTTTTAAGAGGAGGTAGTAAGAAATGGTATAATAAAATACTACTACTACTACTACTACTACTACTACTACTACTACTACTTTATTTCTAGACTTCCCTCTTTCCTCATGGGGACTCAAGGTGATTTATGTGCATATAAAATAGGTAAACACTCAATGCCATGTTTTCCAGCTTTTGGGAAAAAAGAAAATTGCAAGATAACTAGCCCACACAACAATCAAAAGTCACATAACAATCAAAAATAAAAATAAACATTAAGAAACCTATTACCAAAAAGAATTAAAGTTGCCATCTAACCACATCACCAGATAGGGTGATTTTAGCATCCTAGGATGCTTCCACCCCGTCTGAAGGTCTGATGGGCTTGCTGACCATCAGGCCATGCAAAGGAGCCTCCTGTAGAAGCCTCATCTACAACCGGGGTGAAAGTGTCTCCACACGCTTCCCTGGCAACATGTTGTGATGGCTCTAATGCACCCAGCACAGAGCATCCTTGCAATGGCAATGTTTTCCACATATTATGGGGAAAGTGTCACAGAGAGGGAGCTGCACATGGACTGACAGAATTGCCCTGCTGCTCCCTCTTTCCTCCCCAGAAGCCTGGCAAAGCAGAGCACTTTGCCTTTGCTTTAATGGAATATACCTAATTGAAAATGCCATGTATAATAACAAGCACATAACTCCTGAAGGACTCCATTAGTTTCCATATACTGTGAGAATTTAGCTAAATTCTTGTATAATGTTCACTCTGTGTTTACCATTGAAAACAGTGATTGGATTGGTGCTGAAAGCTCTATTCTGACATACAGTAGAGGTAAATCCCATGGAAATCCATGCTTTAAGCAGCTATTCTAAGGATTAGAATATTGTTGCACAAACTTTTCTCAGTAATACCTAATTTAATTCTCAACTACAGAAACAAACTGAGAAGTTGGGAGAGCCTGTACATATACAGGTGGCTGTCCATATTCTTTCTGCTTTACATAAGAATTTTAAACAAAACATGTAGTCATGGCCTCTTGATTTAAAAATCCATTACACTTGGCCTTCCATATGCATGGACTGTCTACATGTACTCATTAATCCATGGTTTAAAAATATTTTTAAAAATCTAAAAATCCAACCTCGATTTTGGTATTTTATATAAAGGGTGCCATTTTATTATGCCACTGTATATACCAGGACTTGAATAGCCACACATTATGGTCTCCATAGGGATCCTGGACCCAAATACCACTGGATATCAAAGGCCCACTGTATATCATACAGCTTCCATATCCGTAGGACTGGTATCTTGAGTTATTTATTTATTTATTTTGTCAATTTCTGAAAAAAAAACATGTTCTTTCTGTACATTTACTTAATCATCCAGTGTGACTCTATGATATCCCCAGACCAAAAGCAATTCATTTCAAGTGTTTGCTATTATCCATGGCTTCATATATCCATGTGAAGTTCAAGAACATGTACCCCCAGTTACAGGGTTTGTACTGTATATGGCTAAGTTAACAATCTGAAACACTTATGGGAAAACTTTTATTGTAATGAAGGATGGTGGCAGAGTTCAGTTTCTGCACTTCCTCTCCCTCCCCCCGCCTTTAGTGAGGATGCCATCTGTTTTAGACTAAACCTACAGGTAGAAAATTATCTAATTTTCAAAGAGATAATTTCTCTGGAAGATATTGCATTAAAATTATTTAAATAAATTAAATAAAAAATAACCCTAGTTTGCAGTTTCATAATCCAGCAGCTTTAAGATTGTAATGCAATTCTTTTCTGCCTATCTAGAACTGTGCCAAGAGGCCACATCTGGAGAAGTTTTTCTACTAGCTTCGGCTGCTCTTGCCAATATTACATTTTTTGATGCAATGGCCTGTGAGATGTTGCTTCAGCTGGATGCAGTAAAAATTCTTATAGCAGCTTGCTGTGACAAACAGAAAGTAGATAGTCCCTATTCTCGGGACCAGGTAAAGGAATATACATTTATATATACATTGTTGTATAGGAACCAATGTGGTAGTTAATAGTTCGGGAGCATGCTCCAACATACTTGTGTGTCTCAACTGTTTACTTTTATTTGTGGATGAGCCATAACAAATCTATGTCTAAATGATGGAAATTCATACCTCTCCCTGTTTTCCTTCTACAGAGACAAATAATCAAGTAATGTACATGTATGTATAGAACAGTCCTAATTTCCAGCACCTTCCTCTAACAGATTTATAAATATTGTCAACTTATTTTCTCTCTGTATATTCTGCAAAGCAGACAGAAATGCAGAAGAAGAAATTCATGTAGAAATATAAGCAACACAATGGATGTTTCTTGAAGCAATGTCAAGTATTGGCTACTGGAAGGCTTGGGATATAGTGGGTGAGAAAAATATGCTGATTTAGGACAGGATTGATCTTCTAACGGGTCACTGGGACATGACTAAATGATGACACTTGTGTTACATCATTACTTTATACCTGTCAAGTGCATCTTTTGAAAGCTCTTCATCAGCTATTTTGGCTTAGTCACCTATCTGTGACATGATTACTGCATTGCTTGATAGACATGGTAAAAAACAATTGAATGTAATGGGTTGGACTTGCTATCAGAATGATAACTTTATGCCTGCCATAAAGTTATTATATGTAAAATAGACCACCATCTAGATTGGAGCAAAAACTCAAAACCGACCTACCAATACTACTTTTTGTTGGTGTGCTGCAAACATATTTTTCATTAGTGAATTCTAGGAGTCCCATGAAAGAAACATCCACTCCCACTTCTACTTTCCCTTTAATACAGTGAATGAATGCGGTTGCCTCGTGGGAGTAACATACATTTGAATGGTTGTCAACAATTCTATAGAGTTTTGAAGAATGGATAGATTATTTCAACTTGCATGAATAGCTATGGGAGTCTAATAAATGAATATAGAACAAAAGATATCAGCATGAATTGAAATTAAAGAACAAACAAACATTCCTCCTGCTTAATATATCTGCAAACTAGACTGCCTATTATATGTTTATATCTGCAAATTGGGCTGACAGTGATTGTATCTGCTTAAATATTTTGTAGTGGAAATAGATCCCACACAAAACTTGATTGGGAGATATCGTTTCTAAGTATTTGGCAGAAACGTATTGAAAAATAATGGGTGATCATGACAATCAAGGGCAGATATGAGCAACTATGTGGAGTTCAGTGGCCAATTTCTTCCCAGCCCAGCTGTAGAGCAAACCCAAATAACTCCATTGTCCTCTCTGGTCTATCTCAAAATGGCAACAGAAAGTGATGGCACAGCATTTCCTGTTCCCAGGCATGTAGCCGGGGGGGGGGGTCGGGGGCTTCAGCCCCCCCCCCGAAATTCTCATGGTGGTTCACAAAAAGGCCTTACTGGTGCATTACTTAAACTGTTATGTTTATTCATATCATGATCTGATCACCATACTCAATTTATTTATTTATTTATTTATTTATTTATTTATTTATTTATTTACTTTGCTTATATACTGCTGTATCTCAAGCCCGAAGGCGACTCACAGCGGTTCACAAACAGTAAAAACAGTAGAAACAGCAGTGGTTCCATACAACATATAACAATTGACTTAACACATTATCCATAAATTACCAATAAGCAATTACAATGCACAATTATTACAAAAAACAACCGTACCCAATCTTCTCATCATCCAAGCGTAGTCCAGGTTCGTCGTCCATTGTTCCATTCCTATGTTCCATTACCAGATTGCACTAAATTACTCAAACGCCTGCACAAACATCCAGGTCTTCACCTTTTTGCGGAATACCATTAGAGATGGTGCTAGTCTAATGTCCGTAGGAAGGGCGTTCCACAGCTGAGGAGCCACCACCGAGAAGGCCCTATCTCTCGTCCCCGCCAGCCGTGCTTGCGAAGCAGGCAGGATCGAGAGCAGGGCCTCCCCGGAAGATCTCAAAGTTCTGGTGGGTTCATAGGCAGAGATGCGGTTAGATAGGTAGCTTGGGCCGGAACCATTTAAGGCTTTATAGGTCAATGCCAGCACCTTGAATTGAGCCCGGTAGGAGATCGGCAGCCAGTGGAGCTGGCGCAACAGGGGGGTTGTATGCTCCCTGCGCTCCGCTCCTGTTAAAATCATGGCTGCCGAGCGTTGGACTAGTTGGAGCTTCCGGGCTGTCTTCAAAGGCAACCCCACGTAGAGAGCGTTGCAGTAGTCTAAACGGGATGTAACCAGAGCGTGGACTACCGTGGCCAAGTCAGACTTCCCAAGGTACGGGCGCAGCTGGCGCACAAGCTTTAGCTGTGCAAATGCTCCCCTGGTCACCGCCGAAACCTGGGGTTCCAGGCTCAGCGATGAGTCCAGGGTCACACCCAAGCTGCGAACCTGCGTCTTCAGGGGGGGTGCGGCCCCATCCAACACAGGCTGTGACCCTATGCCCTGTTCAATGGCCTTGCGACTGACCAGGAGGACCTCTGTCTTGTCTGGATTCAATTTCAATTTGTTCGCCCTCATCCAGACCGTCACAGCGGCCAAGCATCGCTTCAGGACCTGGACAGCCTCCTTAGTAGCAGGTGGAAAGGAGTGACAGAGTCATCCGCGTACAGATGACACCGTACCCCGAAACTCCGGATGATCTCCCCCAGCGGCTTCATGTAGATGTTAAACAACATGGGAGACAATATTGAGCCCTGAGGAACCCCACAAGACAATGGTTGTGGGGTTGAACAGGTGTCCCCCAACAACACCTTCTGAGATCGACCCTCCAGGAATGACCGGAGCCACTGCAAAACAGTACCTCCAAGACCCATCCCTGCGAGGCGTCCCAGAAGGATACCATGGTTGACGGTATCGAAGGCCGCTGAGAGGTCCAGCAGCACCAACAGGGACACACTCCCCCTGTCGAGCTCCCGGCGCAGATCATCCACTAAGGCGACCAAGGCTGTCTCGGTACCATGTCCCGGCCTAAAGCCAGACTGTGCCGGGTCTAGATAATCCGTGTCTACCAAGAATACCTGGAGTTGTGAGGCCACCACACGTTCCAAGACTTTGCCCAAGAAGGGGAGATTGGAAACTGGCCGATAGTTGTCGAATTTAGTGGGGTCCAGTGATGGTTTCTTCAACAGCGGTTTTATTATAGCTTGTTTTAAGCTCGCTGGAATCTTGCCTTCCCGAAGGGAAGCATTAACCACCACCTTAACCCACTCAGCCAATCCCCCTCTGGCCTCCTTTAGAAGCCAGGATGGGCAGGGGTCCAGGATGCATGTGGTTGGCATATATCCCATATGCATGGGGGTATTGGGGTAACTATACAAAAGGTTTGCTAGGGTAGACCCTCTTTCACTCAGACTCAGCCCCCCCAAAAAACTCAGCCCGCCCTGAAACCCTCCCTGAAAAAAAATAAGCCCCCCCCCCGAAACGAAATCCTGGCTACGGGCCTGCCTGTTCCCCTCTTTGAATGAGGTTGCAGAAGAAAATTAAGGCATGGGGGGGGGGGGTGAGGTAGTAGGGAGTTCTGAGGTATGTATATGTATGTGCGTGTAGTATTTTTTTTGCATGTTTTTATGCATCCAGGGGACTTTTTGTATGATTTGGGGGGGGGGACACACACAACAATTGTCCTGAAATTGCATCAAAATTTATGAAATGATCAGGAGGATTGACCAGGATTTTTTGGCAACTGGTAGGGGATTTCAAGAAACAGAAAACCGGGGTCCAGAGGTGGCATATGACCACAGTTTGCACAATGCCCAGGTGTCATCTAGACTCCAGAGCAGTCATTTCTATTTGCTCACCATGCTGTTGGACTCTTGTTTAGAGAACAAGTATTGTTTAGAGAACACATATTCTCAAGATGGCTGTTTTATTTTTGTGTTATATAGATCTTTGCCTTTTTCTTTGCTGTTAATGCTGAAATTGTACAGTTGCACTAAAAACAGAAATAATAATAATAATAATAATAATAATAATAATAATAATAATATAATAATAATAAATAGAGGAATCACAATAGTGCAGAAAGGTGGGACTACAAAGGTGTGTAGTCCCACCAATCATAGGCCCATGGATTGGTGAGGGAACACAATTACATTTCTGAAGACAAATGCAATATTGAAAGTGATCAACAGGACCACAATTTGTGAGGGTATGATCCATTAGCTAAGCTTATTGGACTGTAGTGGAACAGCAGGGTGGTGTGATCAAGTTCTAAATATTTAAAGGGTCCAGAGCAACAATTCTCAACGTTTCTCAATTCCTTATTGCATCTCATACCTTTCATCAATAGAATCTCAGGAACTTTTCTCACACCATCCAACAAGGATCTCTTCTTTTTTTGAGTTGTATAATTTTTTACAGCATCTGGCACTTAAGTTTTATGTATATTTCAGAATAAATTGTCCTGGCGACATCTACCTGTCTGTGTTGGGATATATAGATAGGGGCTTGCAGTGAAGCTGAAATATAAGTTCCAAGAAAGCTCCACTGGTCTCAACAAAAACTGATTCAAAACCTCAGTGAAGCGTAATGAATGACTTACCATTGACGTCAATGGGCTCTGACTCAAGAAGCCAGCAGTTTACAATCTCTGCTGGCAACCATCAAGCAACAAACACTTAATTTATTCACTTCCTTATAGTCCCCTGCATTTTTGAAATGAAACAAATGTAATGAGAAAATCTCAAGACATCATTGTTGTTGAAAAAGCAGTATAATTGTTTTAAATAATCCATGTTCCTTTTGAGCAATAGATTTACAATGTAGTATGTGCTATAAAGCTGTGAGAGAATGCCACTGCAGTAATATGAAATACTATGTACAGATACTGGGTAAAGATGTATAAGTCATCATGTGCAATTTTGCAACCATATTCAAAGATCACTGAAAAGAGTCTCTTAAATTTTAAGTCCTCACCATTTGGTACCTAATACTGGGTTTTGTCTGGGGTCACCTTTGTCAACTTCTGGTCACCGTAGTTC